CTATGTACCATGTAGCATCTATGTACCATGTAGCATCTATGTACCATGTAGTCATTAAATGTTTGTATATTGTTATAATTCAATGTCATTAAATGTCCTTTTATATCCATTGCTTTGGGCCTCGTCTGTGCAACAACGATCACATGTTCATGATAACATTGTCTTTTACTTTTGTTCCATATCCCACATTTCCACTCAAACTCAAGTGGTTCTGACCCCATTTGGCAAAGACATCAGCCCGGCCTGGCCCGGCCTGGCCTTGTCGTGTCCGTCTGCAGTAAATAAAGGTCTGGTTTGAGGACGGGACGGTCCCACAGGGAGCGGGTCCAGACTCTTCATGACTTTCACAGCGGGCGGCGGCAGAGACCAGCGAACCCTCAGTCAGGCATGTTTTCCCACATTAAATCTGGGCTAAACCTGTTCCCTTCATAAATAATACTGTTGTTTCTCTCAACAGAAAAGGTTTTGTAAAATTAAACAAATGTTAAACAAAGAAAGTTAGTGCTGCTTAAAAACCTGTTATGTTTCTGAGGTATAAAAATGTCCACTTATGTTTAAAGGAGCAGTGTGTAAAAATGTGTCCAAAAGTGGTACTGCAGCCTCTCCCACTCTCCCTGACTCAGGTTGCCAGATATGCAGACGAATCCAGCTGGGACCATAACAGCTGAATAGACAAGAGTTTAGTCAACAACAAATCTATAACCAACACCTTTTTCACAAAGATAGAAATCCTGGTTTTATTCCTTGTTTTGTCGTTAATGATTTGAGAATCATAACAAGACCTTTTTTAGTTCTGTGCCACATGGTACTTTACCAGTGAGATTAGCTCCACGCGGTGAGTTTTGGCGCCCGGATCACAGACTTTCTGATTGGTGAAACGGTGGAGGGCGGGACATCGAAATGAAAACAATAACAAGATTTAGGGACTGGAAAAGTAATTTAGAAATTCCAATATCTCTGAACGACTGTTATCAGTTAAAGAAGGATTGGAAAAGAACAGTTTATTATTATGACAGATTAGGGCCCTTTAATGAGGACTGAGTATCTGATCGTAAATAATCGAATATAATCTGATAGTATATAATCTAATATAATCTGATAGTATATAATCTAATATAATCTGATAATATATAATCTAATATAATCTGATAGTATATAATCTGATATAATCTGATAGTATATAATCTAATATAATCTGACAGTATATAATCTGATAGTATATAATCTGATAGTATATAATCTGATAGTATATAATCTAATATAATATGACAGTTTGATAATCTAATATAATCTGATGGTATATAATCTAATATAATCTGATGGTATATAATCTAATATAATCTGATAGTATATAATCCAGTGTGTTCCCAGTGTTATTGTTTGTTTCTGCATCCTCTTTCACTTCCTGTTACCTGAGAACAGAACCGTCACCACTGCCCTCGATGTGACGCTACTTTATATTCCACTTTTGTAACTTACACTGTTTTATGCTTTGTTGTGCAATGTTTAGGTCATCGGAGATTCACTTTCAGATTAACAAACTAAGACATGGTGTCCCAGGTGAACAGAAGTGTCTCATTAAACACCAGAACGTCATCATTTTACTTGTTTTTGTCCATTTTCAAACATCATTAAAACTCAGAAAAGGTCATATATGATGATTTTAGCCGATTTAAATATATATAACTCATTGTCGTCTCTTTGCCTTGTTCTGTCTCTTTTACAATAACTCAGGGTTGTTATGTATCTACTCAAAGTAAAACAAAAAAAATATAGATGTTATTTTCAACCGTTTAAGTTCAAATTATGCAAACTATTATCTTAGTATAAAAAATCTCCCAGAATTGTTGCAGTTATTTCTATCATTTAAATCATGAACCACAATTATCCTTAACACCACTGCTTTCTGGCATTGTTGGAAGAACTTATTTAATTTAAAAATAGTAAAAAAAATAGTTGCATCAGTGAGAAATATGACTGATATATCCTCCTTCCTCCTTCGTCGTGCAAGGACGTGTCTTAGTCCGCTCCTGCTTCTGAACGGCTTGCTATCTCCTGTTTTTGTCTTTTTTTCCTGGAGTTTTGCCACAGACAACTTTAACAGAATGGAAATGATTAACTGGTCCCTCAACGCAATTGATTCTATCTTTTCAACACGTAAGCGCGGGTCTGGAGAGCCCGTGTGCCCGGACGGGACTTCACCAGCGGGGTATACTCTTGACAGCTGGAACAAGTTTCAGCCCCTCTGTCTGTCGACCCTGTCCATTGAAGATTCGGAAGACGTATATATCTTTGGCATTTTGGTGGTGGGGATCCTCCTGTTTGGGTTTGGAGCGGTTCTCTTCTACCACAAATTCGGAGGCATGGCAGTTCGCAAGATTCACGACCTGCTGGCCGAAAAAATTGATGGGATGTACAAGGAGCTTAACCGAGTCGTGGTTGAGAGCGCTGTGGCTGGACAACGAAGAGTGGTGTTAGTGGAACAGTTGATCAAAGATCTCGCAGCTCGTTCACTTGATGGTCATAAGACTCTGGAATTGAGATTGAATGACATTGTCTGCCAGGCTTGAACTCTCTGACCCGGCTTGGATTTGCCCCTGTGTACGGGGTCTGAGGGCGCTGTAATTTGGTCTAATTGGATTTAATAGAATATCTGCCTGTTTTTGACTGCTAAACTGCATACAATATTGTCCCTCGTTACAGGAGATGTGTTCTCTCCCTATTGTGTCTTCCCTCCTCTCTTATCTCACATTCCTCGGGCCAAGGCCATCATAATAAATCTGGTCTCTACAAAAATTTCACACTCTTTCAGTCTTCCAGTTTGGATCCCGCTCCCCCCGCCTCCCTCTGATCTCTCCCTCCCCTCCCCTCCTTACTGTGTTTCCGACTCACCCCCTCCCTGACCCCGCCCCCCTCTGACAGCCACATTGGACCGGCAGGCCGGAGGTGCTCATCCCGTGAAAAAAATCCGTGGTTTTTACAAAGCACAATGTTTTCTATCCAACTGTCTGTTGTTACCTGAATGTTATTGCTCTCTGCTGTTTCTTGCTGCACACAGCGCCGCAAATGGCGAAGTGGCACGCTCTCTGCCAAGACAATTTCCAAGTGATAACTTTGTTACTCACGTGGCAATAAAAATGATTCTGATTCTGATTCTGAAATATAGAGCTCTTGTGGTTAATTGTTTGCTAATGTCATCTCCGCTGCAGCCTGAGGATCAAAACCATTTCAAAGGGATAAAAAGTGCCACTCAATTCTCCCAAACAACTCATTTTTCGGTAAAATGTCTCTCTCTTCTTTGCAAAACTCTTCAGTGTGGATTGGACCAAAACCAGGACTAGACCCAGACCAAACCAAGCCAATGTTTGGACCTGCACTAACTTTGGCGCCTCTTTGTGGTCAGAGTTAAGTTACAAACTTACACAGACATAATAGTTTCTCCACTTGTGGCTAAAGCAGTTGGTCCAATCCAGTCCACTTTATCTATATAGCACATTTCATAAACAGTTTCCAAAGTTTAATAAAATACTAATGAAAACAAATCCAGAGTAAAACAGTAAACCGTGTGGGCGTACCTGTGTCTCTGTCCATATGTACCTGTGTCTGTGTCTATATGTACCTGTGTCTATATGTACCTGTGTCTCTGTCTATATGTACCTGTGTCTCTGTCTATATGTACCTGTGTCTCTGTCTATATGTACCTGTGTCTATGTCTATATGTACCTGTGTCTATATGTACCTGTGTCTCTGTGTCTATATGTACCTGTGTCTCTGTGTCTATATGTACCTGTGTCTCTGTGTCTATATGTACCTGTGTCTGCGTCTATGTCTATATGTACCTGTGTCTCTGTCTATATGTACCTGTGTCTCTGTGTCTATATGTACCTGTGTCTATGTCTATATGTACCTGTGTCTATGTCTATATGTACCTGTGTCTATGTCTATATGTACCTGTGTCTATATGTACCTGTGTCTCTGTGTCTATATGTACCTGTGTCTCTGTGTCTATATGTACCTGTGTCTATGTCTATATGTACCTGTGTCTATGTCTATATGTACCTGTGTCTATATGTACCTGTGTCTATATGTACCTGTGTCGATATGTACCTGTGTCTCTGTGTCGATATGTACCTGTGTCTCTGTGTCTATATGTACATGTGTCTCTGTCTATATGTACCTGTGTCTATGTCTATATGTACCTGTGTCTATGTCTATATGTACCTGTGTCTCTGTGTCTATATGTACCTGTGTCTCTGTGTCTATATGTACCTGTGTCTCTGTGTATATGTACCTGTGTCTCTCTGTCTACATGTACCTGTGTCTCTGTCTATATGTACCTGGCCCCCTGCTGGGACTCTGAGGAGCACAGGGACTGGCCCCCTGCTGGGACTCTGAGGAGCACAGGGACTGGCCTCCTGCTGTGGACTCTGAGGAGCACAGGGACTGGCCTCCTGCTGTGGACTCTGAGGAGCACAGGGACTGGCCTCCTGCTGTGGACTCTGAGGAGCACAGGGACTGGCCTCCTGCTGTGGACTCTGAGGAGCACAGGGACTGGCCTCCTGCTGTGGACTCTGAGGAGCACAGGGACTGGCCTCCTGCTGGGACTCTGAGGAGCACAGGGACTGGCCTCCTGCTGGTCTCAGAGTCAGGACTAAACATGGGGAGGCTGCATTTCAAATTCATGTTGCTAAAATCTGGAACAATCTTCCTGAAAATGTGAGACAGGCTTCTTCTTTGACTCAGTCTAAACCCAGATAAAGACAGTTCTGTTTAGCTGTGATACAACTGAGGGACTTTATATTTTTATCTTTCTTTTGTCTTTTAAACTGTGATTATTTATTATTTTAATGCTATCTTGTCTTGTTCCGCACTTTGAGTTGCCTTGTGTATGAAGTGTGCTATACAGATAAACTTACTGCTTCCACACCCAGACCCGCTGTGACCCTCCAGCCCGGTCTTTGTCCCTAAATATAGTCCGGTATTTAGGACGGGGCCGGTCCATGGCTCCACACCCACTGGTATTTAGCCCCATCAGCCTCTGTCGGGACGTCCGGGCGCAGACATCTCATGGTGAGGCCTAAACGTTCTGATAAGCTGCGAACAATGTAGTTACACGTTAATGATCCGGCCCCGAAACACACGCACACAAAGCAGCACAGCAACACACATTCTCAACACACACTCTCCACCAGACAATTACTGACAACACACACACTTGTAGAAATGTGAAGAAATCATCAACACATTTAATATAGGTCTCTATGGAAACGGTTGGTATTAGTATTATTGCACAGAGACACACACACATACACACACACACACACACACACACACATACATACACACACACACATACATATACATACACACACACACACACACATACACATACACACACACACACACACACATACATATACATACACACACACATACACACACACACACAGACACTGTATCTGGTCTGTCTAGTTCTGCATTTGTTTGTATGCAATTGTTTTGTACGTCTATATCTTCACAACAAAAAGAAAAAAGAATAAACTTTCTCGTGTGAAACTTGCTAAATTATTGATATTAACTTTTACACAAAGAAAAAAATCCTGGTTTTATTCCTTGTTTTGTCATTAATGATTAGAGAATCATAACGAGACCTTTTTTATTATTATGAGAGATTAGGGCCCTTTAATGATGACAGATAAGGGCCCTTTAATGATGACAGATTAGGGCCCTTTAATGATGACAGATTAGGGCCCTTTAATGATGACTGATTAGAGCCCTTTAATGATGACAGATTTGGACCCTTTAATGAGGACAGATTAGGGCCCTTTAATGATGACAGATTATGACCCTTTAATGAGGACAGATTAGGGCCCTTTAATGATGACAGATTATGACCCTTTAATTATGACAGATTAGGGCCCTTTAATTATGACAGATTAGGGCCCTTTAATGAAGACAGATTAGGGCCCTTTTATGATGACAGATTAGGGCCCTTTAATGAAGACAGATTAGGGTCCTTTAATGATGACTGATTATGACCCTTTAATTATGACAGATTAGGGCCCTTTAATTATGACAGATTAGAGCCCTTTAATGATGACTGATTAGAACCCTTTAATGAAGACAGATTAGGGCCCTTTAATGATGACAGATTAGGGCCCTTTAATGATGACAGATTAGGGCCTTTTAATGAAGACAGATTAGGGCCCTTTAATGAAGACAGATTAGGGCCCTTTAATCATGACACATTAGGGCCCTTTAATGACGACAGATTAGGGCCCTTTAATGAGGACAGATTAGGGCCCTTTAATGAGGACAGATTAGGGCCCTTTAATGAAGACAGATTAGGGCCCTTCATAGAAGCGTTGGTGGTTCTATCGTGTGGAGAAACCTCACTTATGTCTTCAGTCTTTCCTTCTTCACTTTCTTCACGGCCAGAGTCTGGTCCGGCCCGGTCTGTTTGTCCAGCTGTTTGGAGCCCAGTCCTCTCCCATGTGACCCGCTGTTTCTGCAGCTGCCATTGGATCAGAACTCAGACCCACAGGACCGGTCTGTGCTGTTTATCTGGGATGCTCCGGTTTAGGGTTTAGGGTTTAGGGGTAACAGAAGCAGGACTGAGAATGATCTTCTGTCGCACTAAACATCTGGACACAAGAACTCATGAGGTGTCGACAAACTAGTTATAATGGTTAAGAGAAAGCATCAATTATATAGATAGATAGATAGGTAAATGTATATCTTTAAAATACAGTTATATTGTAGCGTTGGGAGTGTTTGGGAATTGCTGGTCCTTATTCAACCTTTTCTCTAATTAATTCAGAGTTTGCCTTTAACCAAAATAAATATTCATTATATTATATCAATCGATTTATTTATTTCAAACCTGCACAAACATTTTTAAAAACACTTTCTCTTGTAAAGCATATACAGGGTTTGAAAAGGGGGTTAGGAGAAGCAAAAGCTGATTTATATCCAACCACGTCTCACACAAGAAGCATATATGTAATTAATGTGTATATATATATTTGTTTTAATTTATATACATATTTGTTTTAATTTATATACATATTTGTTTTAATTTATATACATATTTGTTTTAATTTATATACATATTTGTATTAATTTATATACATATTTGTTTTAATTATATATATTTTTGTTTTCTCCTTTTTTCCTTTCTTTCTTATAATTCTTAAAATATTTTCCTTGATTTCTTATCATTCTTTATTTTCTTTTAACATATATTTTTTTCTTTTATTTATTATCATTTTTTGCTCTGATGTATTTTGTGTTAAATTGCCAAAAGCTATCTCTCTCCTCTTGGGGATATTGTGGGAGGGACTGAGGGTAAAATGTATCCTTAAAATGTGATCAAAAATATAATAATTTAAAAAACATATATATATAATAATTAAAAAAACATATATATTAAAAAAAAGAAAATAATAAAAAATATTCTGGGACTAGAATGTATTGAATAGGACCGCAGGGTTGGCCGGCACAAAACCATTAGAGCTGGAGTCATACTTGTGAATATTAATAGCCGAATCCGCTAATACAGTGCTAACCGTCTCATGTGATTGTTTATCATCATCGTCGAGCCGACAGAGTTTCAGGAACCAGAGAAGAAGAGCGGACGGTCTGTGCTGGAGAGAGAAGAGGCGCTGAAACCTGACAGATTCACACTCACTTCACCATCACACAAATACATCAGCACCGCGGACAAGAGACGAGACGGAAGGAACCTCTCTGCGTCGCCATGGTTACCGTCCCGGGGCCCAGGTCCGGACCCAGCGCAAGGGTTTTTATTCAGCACTCCGGGGCCTGGTCTTGAATGGACTTTGTGTTTGGTGTGAAAGCTCGAGATAAGAGATTAGATATAAGATCCTTTATTATTCCCACAAAGGGGAAATTTCAGTGTTGTAGCGCACAGACAGGACAGTAGTAAGAGACACAGGGAGCACACAAAATATACAAAAATGTAGTACCTATGTTTTTAACTAGCTGTAAATGCTTTAATATTCTTTCAAAATTATATAATTGTAGAGCGGAGTTATATACTGTACATATAGAGCAGGAGTTATATACTGTACATATAGGACAGGAGTTATATACTGTACATATAGGACAGGAGTTATATACTGTACATATAGGACAGAGTTATATACTGTACATATAGGACAGGAGTTATATACTGTGCATATAGAGCAGGAGTTATATACTGTACATATAGGACAGGAGTTATATACTGTACATATAGGACAGGAGTTATATACTGTACATATAGGACAGGAGTTATATACTGTACATATAGAGCAGGAGTTATATACTGTACATATAGGACAGGAGTTATATACTGTACATATAGGACAGGAGTTATATACTGTACATATAGGACAGAGTTATATACTGTACATATAGGACAGGAGTTATATACTGTACATATAGGACAGGAGTTATATACTGTACATATAGGACAGGAGTTATATACTGTACATATAGGACAGGAGTTATATACTGTACATATAGACAGGAGTTATATACTGTACATATAGGACAGGAGTTATATACTGTACATATAGGACAGGAGTTATATACTGTACATATAGACAGGAGTTATATACTGTACATATAGGACAGAGTTATATACTGTACATATAGAGCAGGAGTTATATACTGTACATATAGACAGGAGTTATATACTGTACATATAGGACAGAGTTATATACTGTACATATAGACAGGAGTTATATACTGTACATATAGACAGGAGTTATATACTGTACATATAGACAGGAGTTATATACTGTACGTATAGGACAGAGTTATATACTGTACATATAGACAGGAGTTATATACTGTACATATAGGACAGGAGTTATATACTGTACATATAGAGCAGGAGTATTGCACATTGCACATGATTTTAATAATTACTTATTTACAGATGAATGACATTTACAGACTCATTGTACAGTGTGACAGCAGCAGAAAGGACAGACCTGCAGAACCTCCTTGACAATGAAATACTGTGAGACATCATCACTGTCACTGTATTTATAGACGTATTCATAGACGTATTTATAGATGTATATATGACCTGTAATGTTTGCTGCTTCATCTCAGTTTGAAGCGTTTAAAACATGTATGATCCAGAGAAAGAAATAAATATAAGGTAAATAATGTTTAGTTCTGACCATAACTCAGAGATTAGTTTAATATTTGTTCTAGCTTATATTTACACAACAATGCATCCTTTTAGGCTGAAAAGTAGCATAATCCAGGACACTTTTTATACAGTGGCCTGGCTTTTCAAAAATACAGTATGTCCTTACTTTTGTCTTGTTGATAATGTTTTTATTATTATATTCTAATTGAAGTTTTAGGGTTCCACCATTCGTCTGTTTCACTAAGATTTCTGAACTCCTAACAGGTTAACACAATAAAAAGATTCTGCCACACAATGGAAGCCCCCTCAGTAGCTGCCTCAGTAGCTCTCCATGGCTCGCACATATCCTCAATGCGAGTCAATGTTTGGGTTAGACTTACAAACATACTGTACGTCAACATTGTTCCAGCACAGATGCAAGTGTCTGTGTGTGTATTTGGTTGTTCACAGTAATCAATGAAAGCAATAACTTAATAATAATCATAATAATAATAATAATGCAATTGTTTTTTGTAGCAGTGTTTGGACAAGCGGTGGTGTTAAACTACTGTTCTTGCCTCAGCTGCCCTGGGACACACTGACAGAAGCGAGGCAACCATAAACCATTCACGCACAGACACTTTCTTGGCAATGGAGTTGAAGTGTCTTGCCTAAGGACACAGCCACAGTGGCACTTTACAGTCGCAGCCGCCCCACTGTGGCACCTGGTGTTCCCAGAGGTCTCCCATCACAGGACGTAAGTAAGTTATGTTTATTTATGTAGCGCCTTTCTCAGACCAGAGTCAAAGCGGTTTTCAATTGTGGGCAATAGTCTGTCACTCCACACAGAGATGGGAGCGGGGCCAGTACAGGAGCCACATGCCAGAACTATTGTACATATTTTTAGTGGTAAGGGAAACCGGAGCACCCGGAGGAAACCTTTACAGACACAGGAAGAACATGCAAACTCCACTCAGAAACTAACCAGACCCTGCCCTGCTCAGCTTCAGAGCTCTGACAGGATCTGGCTCTCACCTGCAGGTAGGACCACATGTACCAGCCTAAATAAAAATCTTATAAACATGGTTCCAGAAGCTAATCTTAACCATAAAAACACAAACTTGCAACCTGTGCCTGGAGATTAGCCGCGCTGCTAATCTATCTCAGTGGTTATTGCCCCTGATGACCATCTCATTTACTCGACACGTGGACATTTGTTGTAATCCTCTGTCTGTTCTGGATCGTGTTTACAGATGTCTTTCTCTGCGGGCACTTGCAGGCGCTCAGCTACACGCAGGCGCTCAGCTGGTGGCTCATGTCTGTCAGTGGAGCTATAACCATCCGCGGTGCGTGTGTGCCTCCGCCGCCCTGACCTTCAAACTAATGCCCAACACCGAACTCAACACCTTTCCCAAGGACTGAGCTCCGAACCCATGCTATTCTGAGAAACTGCCAGAACGTTAGCATTTCTGCGGCGCACAATCACCACAAAATGTGTGTTAAAGTTACACACAAGAGAAGCTCAAGTGTTTTTATCGGGTAGATAATATTTAGATTTTTTTATTTTGTGAATGTAACTTATTTACTCAAAATAACCTGTATTGTTTTTATCATTTCTATTATTATTATTATATGAAGTAAACAAATTAAAGCTGGGGTACCTAACTTTTAGCTACAAATAAAAATGGAAGAACTAAATTAATCTAAATCAGTCTGAAGCTTTGTGGTTAAATATTCACAATTTTTACATTTTTAGATCGACTTTTTCAGACTGCCCTCTGAGCCCCAAAGCATCAAAAAGTGACTCACTGGGCTCTTTATTACAATATGCAAACGTTTTTTTTTTTTTTTATGTAATTAAATTAAGCAGGTACAATATTTTTCATTTGATCTCTACATTTTTAATTTTACAACATGTGTTTTTAAATAAAACTAAAAACATGTAAATGGCAATGTCTCTTTGAGTGTTAATTTTCAGATTAATTTAATTTTAATTTTAATTTTTGTTAACTAAAAATATTTTGACAATATTTGTGTACAGACATGATACTCGAAAATGCGGTACAGAAAGTAAAAAAAACATTTGGAAATAGAGCTGCAACTAACGATTATTTTGTAATCGATTAATCTATCGATTATTTTTACGATTAATCGAGTAATCGCTTGGCTGTGAATTGAGTAGAAAAAAAATATTTTTTCATCACAAAAAGCTAAAGTGGCAACACTCGAGGACGTATTGATGGCGTAAACTTAAAGTAAATGTTTGTAACAGGCTCTTTGTGCTAATTCTGCTCTGATTGGATGAGACAGACAGATATTCATGAAATTATAAAAACAAAGTTGGTTTTAATCAAAAATACTAAATTTTCATGTCATTTTTGCTCTGTTTGAGTCCGTGTGAACCAGAAAACGATTAATCGATTACTAAAATAGTTGTCGACTATTTCAATAATCGATTAGTCGTCGATTAATCGATTAGTTGTTTCAGCCCTATTTGGAAACATTTCTAAATTACTTGTTTTCATTTCGATGTCCCGCCCTCCACCGTTTCACCAATCAGAAAGTCTGTGATCCGGGCGCCCGAACTCACCGTGTGGAGCTAATCTCACTGGTAAAGTACCATGTGGCGCAGAACTAAAAAAGGCCTCGTTATGATTCTCAAATCATTAACGACAAAACAAGGAATAAAACCAGGATTTCTATCTTTGTGAAAAAGGTGTTGGTTATAGATTTGTTGTTGACTAAACTCTTGTCTATTCAGCTGTTATGGTCCCAGCTGGATTCGTCTGCATATCTGGCAACCTGAGTCAGGGAGAGTGGGAGAGGCTGCAGTACCACTTTTGGCCACATTTGTACAGCGTGCTCCTTTAAAAAAATAAAATCTATTGAACTAATTTTTACAACAACAAAAACACATACGTCCTTATATAAATGGGCTTGCATGTCCACAGACCTGACTTATAGAGGGCTCGCTTGTTCACCAAAATATATATTTGTTATTTGGGATTTAAAAAAAAATGCATTTACTTGTGACCAGTGACAATCCACGAGGTCAATGTTCCGCCCTCGGACATGTGACACCATTCATGAGGAGTGCCAGGTCTGGTCTGGCTCGGCTCTCTCCATGACAATGTGCTAATGCTACAATGGTCCTCACACACGGAGCCAGCACTAATGCCCCTGCCCCACAAAGGCTCTGATCCCGGGCCTTAGCACCTCACTGTGACAGGTGTGCGGGAGAACCGAGCCCTCTGCTCTATTTTCTGTCCAAAAGTACGCCGGGATTTTTAACTTTGTGGAATCTACCTTTTTCTCAATGATAATACAGGATTGTGGATTGTCCGGATGTTTCATGAAAGTAATATATTGTGAACAAATCAAGCTACAATATATTTTTTTCATCTTTTTAAGTGTGTCTCTATGTGATACTTTGGGCTAAGTTTTCTCTAATTTATTTACGCTGCTGATCTGAAGATGAGAGTCGTTTATCTGAAGATGTGGCGCAGAACTAAAAAAGGTCTCGTTATGATTCTCAAATCATTAACGACAAAACAAGGAATAAAAGCAGGATTTCTATCTTTGTGAAAAAGGTGTTGGTTATAGATTTGTTGTTGACAAAACTCTTGTCTATTCAGCTGTTATGGTCCCAGCTGGATTCGTCTGCATATCTGGCAACCTGAGTCAGGGAGAGTGGGAGAGGCTGCAGTACCACTTTTGGCCACATTTGTACAAAAGTGGTACTGCAGATTAACAACTACATAATAGTCGTTTATCTGGTTTTTTTTTCGTAAATGTGATTTTTATGAAAGTTTATGAGTAGATGCCAAGTCTCTCTCTTTATAACTCCAACAAAATCGTCCCATGGTACTAATAAAATCCGGAACCTTGAACATTACTGAATCACTTTTGCAAAACATTTCTTGCACCTGGCCTCAAATTGAAACCTTTTTTTTCTTTGTTAAATATTTATGTGAATTGGGACAGTGCACATTAATCAACCTGTGTTTTTTTTGTAAATGTGCCAGAGTTAGCATGTAAGCTAATGTTCATCTGTAGTCCCAGGGCAGGTTGATATCAAGACAGGTATAAACACAGACACACACCATCACAAAGACATAACAAAACAGGGTTAAACATGTGGAAACATGTGTAAAAAAGGTAAATTAGTAAAAATAAAAGATCAGAAGGACAAGTACACAAAACACCATAAATGTCCACACAGAAAAGTATCAGTGAAACTTTAGAGCATGTTGTGTTCATGTCTCTGATGGTCCACAAGACACTTCTTTGCAGAGTTTTTAAAGATGATCCTCAGTTCCTCAGTTCTGTTGGATCAAGAGTTTAGTCAACAACAAATCTATAACCAACACCTTTTTCACAAAGATAGAAATCCTGGTTTTATTCCTTGTTTTGTCGTTAATGATTTGAGAATCATAACGAGACCTGTTTTAGTTCTGTGCCACATGGTACTTTACCAGTGAGATTAGCTCCACGCGGTGAGTTCTGGCGCCCGGATCACAGACTTTCTGATTGGTGAAACGGTGGAGGGCGGGACATCGAAATGAAAACAATAACAAGATTTAGAGGCTGGAAAAGTAATTTAGAAATTCAAATATCTCTGAACTACTGAGAGAGTTTTATCGACGCCGTTTGACAGATTAGGGCCATCTTACGTATTGCTTCTTTAACCTTTAGCGCCGTTCCCATTAAACTAAAAATGCCCCGGGTTAGGGCTGTCAAAGCTACCGGGATAAAGGTGCCATTTGTCAGGGCACAGGGCGAGCGAGAAGACGTGAGGAGATGTGGTGATGAATGAGACACAGAAAGGGCAGAACGACGGTGACACGTTCGTCAGGCTTCATCTGTTCTTCCAGACGGTTTGGTAAATTTAAATCTGAGGACCTCTGGGACTGTGCGGACCTGAGCCTGCCCCAAGCCCAGAGGATCAACAAATGTGAGGAGATATGGGACCTCATCGCATCACGACCTTTTTAGCAAATCTGTCAAGCACGACTGCAGCCACGGGATCAAGTCTCTTTATTATGCAGTACGTTATAATGAGGTCGCAGCCCAACTCTGATCGTGTTAACAATACAAGGGGCAGGAGACTGTAGTGAGGGCTGATCTAGCAGTAAGCAAGTAATGTTTATTCATTCATTTCTCAGACCAAGGTCACACACAACACAATCTGGTGTAATGTCTGCAGACCCGGATTACATTCATACACATTATACGAACACGTTTTTAGTGGCGGTTGAAACTGGAGCATCTGGAGAAAACCTACATAGACACAAGGAGAACATGTGGCGGCACGGTGGCTGAGTGGATAGCACTCTCGCCTCTCAGCAAGAAGGTCCTGGGTTCGAATCCCGGTCGGACCAGGGCCTTTCTGAGTGGAGTTTGCATGTTCTCCCCGTGTCTGCGTAGGTTTCCTCCGGGTACTCCGGTTTCCCCTACCACTAAAAATATGTCCAATAGTTCTGGCATGTGCCTCCTGTACTGGCCCCGCTCCCATCTCTGTGTGGAGTGAGAGACAAATGCCCAAAAATAACAATTGTAAACCGCTTTGAGACTCAGATCTACAGTGAAAAGGCGGTATATAAATAAAAAACTTACTCACTTACTTACTTACTATGTAAATCGAGAACAAGGCCCGATTCTTGGGTTTCATATGACGTCAGGGCAGTGAATAACAAACGTATGACAGGACGTGACGTATCCTGGCGCTGCAGGCTGCCGGGTTTATACACGGAGATATAGTAGAAGAAGAAGTGGTTTATACACAGAGATATAGTAGAAGAAGAAGCGGTTTATACACGGAGATATAGTAGAAGAAGAAGTGGTTTATACACGGAGATATAGTAGAAGAAGAAGTGGTTTATACACGGAGATATAGTAGAAGAAGAAGTGGTTTATACACGGAGATATAGTAGAAGAAGAAGTGGTTTATACACGGAAATATAGCAGAAGAAGAAGTGGTTTATACACGGAGATATAGTAGAAGAAGAAGTGGTTTATACACGGAAATATAGTAGAAGAAGCGGTTTATACACGGAGATATAGTAGAAGAAGAAGCGGTTTATACACGGAGATATAGTAGAAGAAGAAGTGGTTTATACACGGAGATATAGTAGAAGAAGAAGTGGTTTATACACGGAGATATAGTAGAAGAAGAAGTGGTTTATACACGGAGATATAGTAGAAGAAGAAGTGGTTTAAACACGGAAATATAGCAGAAGAAGAAGTGGTTTATACACGGAGATATAGCAGAAGAAGAAGTGGTTTATACACGGAGATATAGTAGAAGAAGAAGCGGTTTATACACGGAGATATAGCAGAAGAAGTGGTTTATACACGGAGATATAGTAGAAGAAGAAGTGGTTTATACACGGAGATATAGCAGAAGAAGTGGTTTATACACGGAGAAGCATCTTTTTGTGCGGTGTACGTTTGTAGCAACCGCACAAATAGAGAGAAAGACCAGAGTTTGTTCATGTTCCAACTGTGGTCTCATATAAAGGAGGACACTTTGAACAAATCACTGGAATGAGGCGGGCGAGGTGGATCAAGGCTTTCCCAGATAAGCGCCCCCTGCAGGCCACCCCAATGAAACACAGACATTTCTTCTGTTTCCTTTTTTTTAAATGCCCAAAATCAAGACTCTTTTGAGAAATATTTGTTAGTGCTGACTTAGAGTTGAGTGTCCCCGATTAAGACTGTTCCAACAAACGTACACCGCACAGGAGGAGAGCCTTTGACTCCAGAACAGACTTTACATGGTTTTCAATGGGAGCAACACTGTCCCACCTCTGCTCATGCGCCCCCTACTGGCCAGTTTAATGAAACACGAGAATTCATCTTTATATCAAATCTCTGTCAGAAAAAAAGATGCAAAAAGAGCATAATTAATTGTAATATGTGACATCCACTTTTCAATTGGTGACAAGGTGATGATCTGTCATGTACGTATGTAAGTAAGGAATCTTTAATTATATAGCGCCTTTCACAGACAGATAGTTACAGTAGATACACAGGGGCGGCACGGTGGCTGAGTGGTTAGCAAATCCCGGTCAGAACAAGGGCCTTTCTGAGGTGAGTTTGCATGTTCTCCCCATGTCTGTGAAGATTTCCACCAGGCCCTCCGGTCTCCCCAACCACAATAGGATCTGGCATGAGCCTCCTGTCGGTGACCTCGCTCCCATCTCTTTGGAGTCATGGACAAATGCCTAAAAATAACAATAAAGCGCTTTGTGACTCTGGTCTGAGAAAGGCGCTATATAAATAAATAAGGATTACTACTACTACAACAGATACTTTATTGCTCCCTGTTGGAGACATGTGTCCAGTGGCAGCAAAAACACATCCATCCAAACAAACAAGACAAACAGAGTCACAAAGCGCTTTATACTGTATTTGTTGTGGGCATTTATCTCAGAGCGAGGACGCCAGACAGACTTTATATTTGTTGTGGGCATTTATAAGATAAGATAAGAATTCCTTTATTCGTCCCACAGTGGGGAAATTTCGATGTTGCAGCGCACATATAGGACAGTAGTAAGAGCACACAGGGATCACACACAATATATACAAATATTAGCTATGTTTCTTAGCTAACATAACTAGCTGTAGATGCTGAAAATGCTTCAATACCATTATCTCAGAGCGAGGACACCAGACAGGAGGTGCATTCAGACCTAATGTACATGTTTTTAGTGGTAGGGGAAACCGGAGCACCCAGAGGAAACCTAGGCAGACACAGGTAGCATGCAAACTCCGCTCAGTTACCCAGGACCTTCTAACCACTCAGTCTGCTTACCTGAGTTAGAGATATAAATATTGGGTGTACTTGCTATGCCATTTGTTATGTCGTAAATGTTTTGCTAATTATATTGTATTTTGTTTATGGATTTTGATTGGTATTAGTGACTTTATTTTATTTCTCATTTTCTATGTTATTATTTTCTTTTGCTTTGTGCTTCTTTTTTGTCTATAGTCTGTGTTCAAAATACTAAGAATGTGTGGATGATTGTGGTTGTGATTGTGGTATGAATGCAAAGGGGGAGTGGCTGGGTTTGGGTGGGGGGTTTTGAAGTTTGTCTCGTTATTTTATCTTGTAAATAAAAAAAAAAAAACAAAAAAAAAACCACTCAGTCACCGCGCCGCTGTAAGACCCCATGTCCTTTGTACATTCACATCCTGCTGCTCTCATCAGACGTGTTAGTATGAAGTGTGTGTCTGAAGTTATTAGGTTTCCATTTAATGTCTTTCTGTCACTACTCTGCAGAGCTGGAGCACCTGCAGGTATCTCCTCCTCAGATCATGTGGCTCATTCTGAACTCAGGGCCTGGAGACAGACACAGAAGCCTGAAGAGGAAGAGGAAGAAGAAGGGTCACTGTCTGTCACTGTCCATAAGCATTTCTTATTCTATTCTTTTAGACTGTACTGATAAATATGATCGTACATAATGCATAATTCACTTATATAATTCACCTCCTTTCATGTCCATTCATCATTAAAGGGCCCTAATCTTTCCTCATTAAAGAGCCCTAATCTGTCATCATTAAAGGGCCCTAATCTGTCATCATTAAAGGGCCCTAATCTGTCATCCTTAATCAAAGGGCTCTAATCTGTCGTCATCAAAGGGTCATAATCTGTCATCTTTAAAGGGCCCTAATCTGTCATCATTAAAGGGCCCTAATCTGTCCTCATTAAAGGGCCCTAATCTGTCATCATTAAAGGGCCCTAATCTGTCATCATTAAAGAGCCCTAATCTGTCATCATTAAAGGGCCCTAATCTGTCATCCTTAATCAAAGGGCTCTAATCTGTCGTCATCAAAGGGTCCTAATCTGTCATCTTTAAAGGGCCCTAATCTGTCATCATTAAAGGGCCCTAATCTGTCCTCATTAAAGGGCCCTAATCTGTCATCATTAAAGGGCCCTAATCTGTCATCATTAAAGAGCCCTAATCTGTCATCATTAAAGGGCCCTAATCTGTCATCCTTAATCAAAGGGCTCTAATCTGTCGTCATCAAAGGGTCCTAATCTGTCATCTTTAAAGGGCCCTAATCTGTCATCATTAAAGGGCCCTAATCTGTCCTCATTAAAGGGCCCTAATCTGTCATCATTAAAGGGCCCTAATCTGTCATCATTAAAGAGCCCTAATCTGTCATCATTAAAGGGCCCTAATCTGTCATCATTAAAGGGCCCTAATCTGTCATCATTAAAAGGCCCTAATCTGTCATAATTAAAGGGCCCTAATCTGTCACAATAATAATCTGTTCTTTTCCAATCCTTCTTTAACTGATAACAGTAGTTCAGAGATATTTGAATTTATAAATTACTTTTCCAGTCCCTAAATCTTGTTATTGTTTTCATTTCGATGTCCCGCCCTCCACCGTTTCACCGATCAGAAAGTCCGTGATCCGGGCGCCAAATATCACCGGTATCTCCAGATGCTGTTGTCGAGGGGGTATATATGTTTTTGGACCAGTCTAGTTTAGTTGCTGTGGAATTTTGAATGCACTCGTTAAATGAATGGGGCAAGTGCAGCTAACTCATGTGCACATTTTCCAGCCCCCTGCGGCCATTTTGAAACTACCCATAGAAGGCAAAAGTGATGTCACACTACAGTTTCAACTACATCCGTTTATATTTACAGTCTATGATTAAAACGTACCCTTAAAATTCCAGGTCCAATGTTTTTTCCCATGTCCTCAAAATAAAACTAAGCGGTTAAACAAGTGCTAATAATCTCTTGATGATTTGGCAGATTCAAACGGCCACGATGTGAAACCTGTTCCCCACATTCATTAAAACTGCTGCTTCATGAACACACAAACGTCCCACACTTCTTAACTTAAGCCCTTTGGCATTTGTTCATCCAGTTTTTTTCTGGTACGAAATGTGTGTAAGCTGGAAGCAAGTGCAGGAACACATGAGCTGATGGGGGGCTATAGGTTCAGATTCCGATGGGCTTAAAGGGCGCTATGTATTCTTGCGTTTATACTTTTGCTTCCTCTTCTTTCTCCAATGAGCTCCGTCCGTTTGCTGTGGATGTTATGTCTTTATATTAGGATTTTAACAATGCATAAGCTCAAAGTGTATTGTATCTTTTTTCACTACAAGGCTCTATCAGACTGGAATAAACTCACATCTATACAATAATTTTTATTTATTTTTTATTTTATTTTTTTATTTCAACAAAACATACATGGGGAAAAGGGGGGGGGGGGGGGGGGGCGTCCGTGTTTGTGTGTGTGTGTGTTTTTTATTATTTACTTTTTTAGTTTAGTTTATTTATTTAATTACTGTGTGTGAATTGATTAATTATCCAAGCGTATTGATGGGAATCGGTGGTATGGTGTATAACCGGGACCAGATGAGAGAGGCAAAATAACAAACAAAAAAGAAGAAAGTAAAAGCAATAGCGACGATGGTGATGATGATGAAGATAAAAATTACGACAATACTAGCGTCCTTAACAGTAGCATTGTTATTGGCACTCCTCCGACAGCATTCCTCAATAGTTTGTCTGTGATTGTGTGGTGCATTAAAAACCTGCGTGAGATGTGCATTAAAAAGGCTTATTATATGACTTGGACGTACGTGGACTATCTACGCTCGGACTATCTACGCTCGGACTATCTACGCTCGGACTATCTACGCTCGGACTATCTACGCTCGGACTATCTACGCTCGGACTATCTACGCTCGGACTATCTACGCTCGGACTATCTACGCTCGGACTATCTACGCTCGGACTATCTGCGCTCGGACTATCTGTGCTCGGACTATCTACGCTCGGACTATCTACGCTCGGACTATCTACGCTCGGACTATCTACGCTCGGAGTATCTTCGCTCGGACTATCTACGCTCGGACTATCTGTGCTTGGACTATCTACGCTCGGACTATCTACGCTCGGACTATCTGTGCTTGGACTATCTATGCTTGGACATTCGGACGTGAAACTAGCGGTAATCTTTCAGTTATATATTGTGTTAGCAGTGCGTTGTTTTTGTACCATTTCATCAGTGGTTGTTGTACAGCTTAAATTGTGCTAATGCTAACGTTAGCATATAGATAGCCTGTGAGCGAGTTGGGGGCGGGGCTAAACATTCACACTTAGAAAAACCTGCAGAAACGGGTATAGCTCCTTTAATCCATGTCTGGGTCGGGGGTTGCCAGATATGCCACTCAGTACACAATTATTATCATTATTAATCTTTATTTCAGACTCAAATGAAATTGGTCCATAATAAATAATATAAAATAAATATGTATTTGAGTCAAACTAACTCTGCAATGGGGCACCACAGCCTCCAGCAAATCAATGTGTACGTTTCTTAAAAGTATCATTTTCACACCGCTATCACATGGCGGCCGTGATCTGACCACTATAATTGCCGCGGCTGGAGATTAGTTCCCAGCTGTCCCGCAGAAACACAGCGTGCCTGGGTGTTTCTCGCTCGGCGGCTAACCTTTCCCTGGCGTGGCTGACAGGTTTCAGAAATCCCCAAATGTCTGACAGCATATCATCCTCACACTCCGCGCCCTCAAAGTGGACATGTCATCTCCAAATTCTGTTTATTTGTTGGCGCCCTGTCGTGAAAACCTTCCCATCAACTGTGAGTTAATCTTGTCAGTAAATACAGGCTGGTAATAAACCGCTCCGCTCCTAAACATGGTGTATTTTTCTTGTAGTTTTAAAATGCTGTTTCCATGCAAACCCTACACCTGGACCCCCCGATGGGTTCGAATACCCGTCCATAAACACGTAGCAGGGCCTGGGTTTGGTGACATGAGCCGGTGCCACTTAAAAGGCCCAAGTGATAAAAAATAATAATCTCCCAGCCGTCCAAGAAGACATCTTCGGTTTCACACGAGATCAAGTTTACGAGGAGAATCCGCAGCGTGAGACCAGCGACAGAGGCACGGGGCGGAAGCTAAACGGCTGAACGAGAGGAGAACATGCAAGATGAGTCTGTAAGAGTGAGGGAGCAGGTAAACGACATTCTGTGACTGTTGGAATGATATAAAACAAAAGTCATTTCTACACACACAAATACATTATTACTACTACACCTAAAAGTTTACTTTAAATCAGCAATATGTAAGATATTCATGTCAAGTCATCATTAAAGGGCCCTAATCTGTCATCATTAAAGGGCCCTAATCTGTCATCATTAAAGGGTCCTAATCTGTCATCATTAAAGGGCCCTAATCTGTCATCATTAAAGGGCCCTAATCTTTCATCGTTAAAGGGCCCTAATCTGTCATCATTAAAGGGCCCTAATCTTTCATCATTAAAGGGCCCTAATCTGTCATCATTAAAGGGCCCTAATCTGTCATCATTAAAGGGCCCTAATCTGTCATCATTAAAGGGCCCTAATCTGTCATCATTAAAGGGCCCTAATCTGTCATCATTAAAGGGCCCTAATCTGTCATCATTAAAGGTCCCTAATCTGTCATCATTAAAGGGCCCTAATCTGTCATCATTAAAGGGCCCTAATCTGTCATCATTAAAGGGTCCTAATCTGTCATCATTAAAGGGCCCTAATCTTTCATCGTTAAAGGGCCCTAATCTGTCATCATTAAAGGGCCCTAATCTGTCATCATTAAAGGGCCCTAATCTGTCATCATTAAAGGTCCCTAATCTGTCATCATTAAAGGGCCCTAATCTGTCATAATAATAAACTGCTCTTTTCCAATACTTCTTTAACTGATAACAGTAGTTCAGAGATATTTGAATTTCTAAATTACTTTTCCAGTCTCTAAATCTTGTTATTGTTTTCATTTCGATGTCCCGCCCTCCACCGTTTCACCAATCAGAAAGTCCGTGATCTGGGCGCCAGAACTCAGCGCATGGAGCTAATCTCACTGGTAAAGTACCATGTGGCGCAGAACACATAGATTTGTTGTTGACAAAACTCTTGTCTATTCAGCTGTTATGGTCCCAGCTGGATTCGTCTGCATATCTGGCAACCTGAGTCAGGGAGAGTGGGAGAGGCTGCAGTACCACTTTTGGCCACATTTTTACACACTGCTCCTTTAACTCTACTTTTAGCTCTCTTCAATTAGAAAAACGACGTTATCAGAGTAGATGGAATGTCATATGAAGCAATTATATCAACACTTCTCTGATATTTAGTGATTATTTTGTAAGGAGAGCTTGTTGGATCTTGGGTTGCGACACTGATCCGGGTTCGTGTCCAAAACAGCTCGTGGAAAATGTGCCCAGTCGCCTGAACCTCTGCAGATGGATGAGGTCAGAAAAACGCTGCATCTGCAAAATTTGAGCTTGTAATGAGGGAAAATGAAGGACTCCTGAAACCCACCCCTCAACATGACCTCGCAGAAGTCAAAGTGACACGCTTATGCTAATTCCCAGCCCACATGGACTGCACAGCCTCCGCTCTGGCCCAGATACTTCTCACTACGGTTTTTGGGCATCATAAAGTTAATATTTTTGTATGAAATTTGTGAAAGTAAATAATGGGGGCTGGCTGGTTTTATTCTTTAACAACCCAAATTATACTGTAGTTTCTGTCTGATAATGTTGGTCATGTCTCAATCTACTTTAGCACTGCTGCTACATCCTGGTACAAAGTATCTCTCCTTTTCAGAATCAGAATCCTTTTTTTGCCATGTGAGAAACAGGAAGTTACAAACGAGGAGATGTCTTTGGCTCTCGGTGCAAACAAGTAAAAGCAGAAGTAAATCAGGCATAAATACATATAAATCTAGATAACAATTTAGCTAATGTTTATTGTACACTGTCCCTGTAAAAATAAAAACATACTATTTTGGTTACGTTATTTTTAAGTTATAATAAGGGTCACACAGAAGTTACACATATTTCCTGCCTCCCAAGTCTTTTGTGAAAGTGTTTTCTGCATTACTTCTGACTTACACCCATTAGGTTGGATGAAGTTTCAAGTAGATTGTCAATTATGGTCTTGTTATTTATGACTGAAAAGCAGGTGTTACAAACATCAAGATTTACATAATAAACTGTTCTTTTCCAATCCTTCTTTAACTGATAAAAGTAGTTCAGAGATATTTGAATTTCTAAATTACTTTTCCAGTCTCTAAATCTTGTTATTGTTTTCATTTCGATGTCCCGCCCTCCACCGTTTCACCAATCAGAAAGTCTGTGATCCGGGCGCCAGAACTCCCCGCGTGGAGCTAATCTCACTGGTAAAGTACCATGTGGAGCTAATCTCACTGGTAAAGTACCATGTGGCGCAGAACTAAAAAAGGTCTCGTTATGATTCTCAAATCATTAACGACAAAACAAGGAATAAAACCAGGATTTCTATCTTTGTGAAAAAGGTGTTGGTTATAGATTTGTTGTTGACAAAACTCTTGTCTATTCAGCTGTTATGGTCCCAGCTGGATTCGTCTGCATATCTGGCAACCTGAGTCAGGGAGAGTGGGAGAGGCTGCAGTACCACTTTTGGCCACATGTTTACAAACTGCTCCTTCAAACCGTGTCTGTATTTTTCTCAGAGGTCAGAGAGGTGTGTGTGCGGTTCGGTTCAAAGGGCAGAACAAGCCGGGCCTGTGATCCCGGCTGTAAATTGTGCTGAGGACCGTGAGGACACATCAAGCTGTCTGCAAACTCCTCATGTCAAAGGGCGTCTGGTTTGGGAATGAAAACACTTTACACCAAAACGGCTACAATGTCATAATTTACAACTTTCTAACTGTGACATGAGCTACAGCCTCTCAGCGGGACTCCACATCTTGTCCTTCACCTTTCACCATTTCTTTCCAGTCTGTACGCTTCTGCAAAGCCACTCTGACGTTAGACTGCCCCCTTGTGGATTACACATCATATCCACTGGGATTTGAACCTATAACATCACAGTTACATCCATGAGCGATTAAAATAAAGGACGTTTCAATCCAATCCACTTTATTTGTAGTGCATATTTTATAATAAAAAATTCCAAAGAGCGGCACAGAGAAAAAAGTAATATTAAAATATACACGTTCACCAGCTTTATGAATATGAATGAGTTTATATATTTTTTCATCTTTGATCTTTTTAATGCGCTATGACTATTTATGATTTTAATCCCTTGTGTGATTTTAATGTTTTACGGTTTTTAACTACTTGTGTGATTTTATTTTTTATGTTTTTAATATATCTTGTGCTCTTAATCTGTCTTTTTATGTTTACTTAAATTCTAATGTTTGATGATTTATGCATGATGTTATATGCCTTGTGTAGGAAAGGAGCTCTACAAATACATTTGATTGATTGATTGATTATGTATATCTACAAAAATAAATGAACAAATACAATAAGTAAAACATTATATACGCAATTACACTACTATACAGACTTTTATTAGTGCAGAATGTTGTCCAGCTCCCAAATCTTTTTAAATCATAGTAGTAAGTAGTAGTAATCTTTATTTATATACCTTTTTCACTGCAGATCTGAGTCTCAAAGCGGTTTACAATTTTTATTTTTTTGGGCATTTGTCCTCTCACTCCACACAGAGATGGGAGCGAAGTCGCCAGTACAGGAGGCGTATGCCAGACCTATTGTAAATATTTTTAGTGGTAGGGTAAACCGGAGTACCCGGAGGAAACCTACGCAGACACGGGGAGAACATGCAAACTCCACTCAGAAAGGCCCTGGTCCGACCGGGATTTGAACCCAGGATCTTCTTGCTGAGAGGCGACAGTACTATCCACTCAGCCACCAATTAAAGGATAAGTTGGTCAAAGTGTGTGGCCAAAAGTGGTACTGCAGCCTCTCCCACTCTTCCTGACTCAGGTTGCCAGATATGCAGACGAATCCAGCTGGGACCATAACAGCTGAATAGACAAGAGTTTTGTCAACAACAAAGTATTGGAAAAGAGCAGTTTATTATTAGGACAGATTAGGGCCCTTTAATGATGACAGATTAGGGCCCATTAATGATGACAGATTAGGGCCCATTAATGATGACAGATTAGGGCCCTTTAATGATGACAGATTAGGGCCCTTTAATGATGAAAGATTAGGGCCCTTTAATGATGACAGATTAGGGCTCTATAATGATGACAGATTAGGGCCCTTTAATGATGACAGATTAGGGCCCTTTAATGATGACAGATTAGGGCTCTATAAAGATGACAGATTAGGGCTCTATAATGATGACAGATTAGGGCTCTATAATGATGACAGATTAGGGCTCTATAAAGATGACAGATTAGGGCCCTATAATGATGACAGATTAGGGCCCTATATTGCTACTTTAACAAACTAACCTTATATATTAGTGGCACATTTTAGTGGCTCCAACTGTTAACGGACGATGATGTGAAGTATTTTATGATTCGAACATATGCCGTCAGTATGATCCATTTAGATAATCTCTGAGTGTAGCTTTACATTGAATCTAAGCAGTGGCTGGTCTTGGCTTTCAGGCTGGGACCCCCTGCAGGCTGGGACCCCCTGCAGGCTGGGACCCCCTGCAGACCGAGGCCTCTGAACGGTCTGGCCGGCGGACACTGGTCTTTAACCCTCTCAACACTCCGCCACTATCACCGTATCACTGCACCAATGATTTATGTCCTGGAACAGCATTCAGGGTTCTCAACGTACACACTCCACATGTGAAAGAACCACAGACAAGTGCAGGCCGTGATTTATGAACCATATTTCAAGAAACTGTGTTAAAAAAAAAAAGAATTGTGTCAAAATATATGTTTTGTACAGTATAACGAGTCTATTCAAACCTGGCAACTTGGGTTTACTAACGTTTAGACCTAGATCAGGGCTAAACTAAAACCTCGTTGAGTTATAGTTTAAAGGAGCAGTGTGTAAAACATGTGGCCAAAAGTGGTACTGCAGCCTCTCCCACTCTCCCTGACTCAGGTTGCCAGATATGCATACGAATCCAGCTGGGACCATAACAGCTGAATAGACAAGAGTTTTGTCAACAACAAATCTATAACCAACACCTTTTTCAGTCCTGGTTTCTCGGGCTCTCGGTCATGGCTGAGGGTAAAATTAAGCATCCAGCCGAGACGCATGCATCTGGTTTGGATGTCTCTTCATGGAAGCCTCCAGGGGATGGGGGGGCATGAACTACATGGGGAAGTATGCGTATATTTAATAATTACACAAGTTGACAGCCAAAAAATGGTCAGGGGTTTCTCAACTGATTCAGACTAATGTTGGTGTTCTGAGAATATCACATGCATTTGTCTCTATCAGGTCAACTGAGTGAGATACAGCCACAGTGTTACGGATTATGTACGTCTACGTTATTATGAATTCTGCTTATCAAATTTGATGGAGTAAATAAAAACTGAATGACTTTGGATACGTTGACTTTTATTTCTTGAGAAAAACGGAAAAAAACGTCAAGGGTTTCTCAGCTGATGATCCGCAGAAATTAGTTTTTTAGGCAAAATTGATTAAAAAAACTATTTCAGTAGCAACAGATCCAGACCTGATTGAGCAAAACCAAGGTCATTTTCAGACTCAGAGCCTCAACATTAGTCTGATTCAGCTGAAAACCCTGGACTATTTTCAAAAAAATATTTTTGTGTTACCCAGTGTAATAATCATAATAGTGCTTTTAATACTTTTTGACTCACTCTCCAAACACAGTGACGATGAACTACTTATTACTGTAGCCACAGCTGCCCTGGGGCACACTGCAAGTCACGAGGCAACCAGTCTGTGCCATGGGTCCAACCATTCACACACACACCAGGCTCATTCTAATGTGGAGGAAGTGTCTTGCCTAAGGACACAACGACTGCAGACATCAGTGAGAGTCAGTGGAGAAAGTCTTGTGATGGGCTTGAACCCACAACCTTCAGGCTAAACTGAGCCACTGTCGCCCCCATTTCCCTCGTCTGTTGACTCCAAGTCCCGGCTCTGGATACACCGAAAGAAAGTGGATGGAGATGGTGTAACGTGTTGAAGGTTGCTAATGACAACCGTGTGTAGAAAAGACTAATTAATTCCTGACCCAAATACTGATTGAAAAGTGTCTGGCTTTGATAATAATGTGTTTTCCAAAGAAACCTGAACCACACGTGGGACGCGACCCAAACTCTCAGAATCACAACAACAACCCGGGTTCTCCTCACATCAATATTGGCGTATTATTATTATTATTATGTTTTATTGAGTGGATCAGAGGGTCTCGTGTGGTCATGGCCAGGGGCAGTGCAGACCCGTGAACCATGGACCACAAACGGCTGGAAAACCAAGAGGACTTCAGTGAGTTCAAAGAGAGGAGGAGGGGGACTCAAACCTAATTAAGGCCTAATTGGAAGCAGTGAGTTGGGACGTCCTGCAGACCCCCCAGAAGTCCGAGGGTTTGAGATGAGGACCGAGATTAGTGAAGGTGTCTGGGTCGTGTGTGGTTGTGTGTTTAGTATGATGGGGTCGTGTGTGGTTGTGTGTTTAGTATGATGGGGTTGTGTGTGGTTGTGTGTTTAGTATGATGGGGTTGTGTGTGGTTGTGTGTTTAGTATGATGGGGTTGTGTGTGGTTGTGTGTTTAGTATGATGGGGTCGTGTGTGGTTGTGTGTTTAGTATGATGGGGTCGTGTGTGGTTGTGTGTTTAGTATGATGGGGTTGTGTGTGGTTGTGTGTTTAGTATGATGGGGTTGTGTGTGGTTGTGTGTTTAGTATGATGGGGTGTGTGTGGTTGTGTGTTTAGTATGATGGGGTCGTGTGTGGTTGTGTGTTTAGTATGATGGGGTTGTGTGTGGTTGTGTGTTTAGTATGATGGGGTTGTGTGTGGTTGTGTGTTTAGTATGATGGGGTTGTGTGTGGTTGTGTGTTTAGTATGATGGGGTCGTGTGTGGTTGTGTGTTTAGTATGATGGGGTGTGTGTGGTTGTGTGTTTAGTATGATGGGGTGTGTGTGGTTGTGTGTTTAGTATGATGGGGTCGTGTGTGGTTGTGTGTTTAGTATGATGGGGTTGTGTGTGGTTGTGTGTTTAGTATGATGGGGTTGTGTGTGGTTGTGTGTTTAGTATGATGGGGTTGTGTGTGGTTGTGTGTTTAGTATGATGGGGTCGTGTGTGGTTGTGTGTTTAGTATGATGGGGTCGTGTGTGGTTGTGTGTTTAGTATGATGGGGTAGTGTGTGGTTGTGTGTTTAGTATGATGGGGTCGTGTGTGGTTGTGTGTTTAGTATGATGGGGTTGTGTGTGGTTGTGTGTTTAGTATGATGGGGTCGTGTGTGGTTGTGTGTTTAGTATGATGGGGTCGTGTGTGGTTGTGTGTTTAGTATGATGGGGTAGTGTGTGGTTGTGTGTTTAGTATGATGGGGTCGTGTGTGGTTGTGTGTTTAGTATGATGGGGTCGTGTGTGGTTGTGTGTTTAGTATGATGGGGTCGTGTGTGGTTGTGTGTTTAGTATGATGGGGTTGTGTGTGGTTGTGTGCTTAGTATGATGGGGTCGTGTGTGGTTGTGTGTTTAGTATGATGGGGTCGTGTGTGGTTGTGTGTTTAGTATGATGGGGTCGTGTGTGGTTGTGTGCTTAGTATGATGGGGTCGTGTGTGGTTGTGTGTTTAGTATGATGGGGTTGTGTGTGGTTGTGTGTTTAGTATGATGGGGTCGTGTGTGGTTGTGTGCTTAGTATGATGGGGTTGTGTGTGGTTGTGTGCTTAGTATGATGGGGTTGTGTGTGGTTGTGTGTTTAGTATGATGGGGTCGTGTGTGGTTGTGTGTTTAGTATGATGGGGTCGTGTGTGGTTGTGTGTTTAGTATGATGGGGTCGTGTGTGGTTGTGTGTTTAGTATGATGGGGTCGTGTGTGGTTGTGTGTTTAGTATGATGGGGTCGTGTGTGGTTGTGTGTTTAGTATGATGGGGGTGTGTGTGGTTGTGTGTTTAGTATGATGGGGTCGTGTGTGGTTGTGTGTTTAGTATGATGGGGTCGTGTGTGGTTGTGTGTTTAGTATGATGGGGTCGTGTGTGGTGTTGTGTTTAGTATGATGGGGTCGTGTGTGGTTGTGTGTTTAGTATGATGGGGTCGTGTGTGGTTGTGTGTTTAGTATGATGGGGTGTGTGTGGTTGTGTGTTTAGTATGATGGGGTCGTGTGTGTTGTGTGTTTAGTATGATGGGGTCGTGTGTGGTTGTGTGTTTAGTAGATGATGGGGGGGTTGATGTGTGGTTGTGTGTTTAGTATGATGGGGTCGTGTGTGGTTGTGTGTTTAGTATGATGGGGTTGTGTGTGGTTGTGTGTTAGTATGTGTGTGTGGTTGTGTGTTTAGTATGATGGGGTCGTGTGTGGTTGTGTGTTTAGTATGATGGGGTCGTGTGTGGTTGTGTGTTTAGTATGATGGGGTCGTGTGTGGTTGTGTGTTTAGTATGATGGGGTGTGTGTGGTTGTGTGTTTAGTATGATGGGGTCGTGTGTGGTTGTGTGTTTAGTATGATGGGGTCGTGTGTGGTTGTGTGTTTAGTATGATGGGGTCGTGTGTGGTTGTGTGTTTAGTATGATGGGGTCGTGTGTGGTTGTGTGTTTAGTATGATGGGGTCGTGTGTGGTTGTGTGTTTAGTATGATGGGGTCGTGTGTGGTTGTGTGTTTAGTATGATGGGGTCGTGTGTGGTTGTGTGTTTAGTATGATGGGGTCGTGTGTGGTTGTGTGTTTAGTATGATGGGGTCGTGTGGTTGTGTGTTTAGTATGATGGTGTGTGTGGTTGTGTGTTTAGTATGATGGGGTCGTGTGTGGTTGTGTGTTTAGTATGATGGGGTCGTGTGTGGTTGTGTGTTTAGTATGATGGGGTCGTGTGTGGTTGTGTGTTTAGTATGATGGGGTCGTGTGTGGTTGTGTGTTTAGTATGATGGGGTCGTGTGTGGTTGTGTGTTTAGTATGATGGGGTCGTGTGTGGTTGTGTGTTTAGTATGATGGGGTCGTGTGTGGTTGTGTGTTTAGTATGATGGGGTCGTGTGTGGTTGTGTGTTTAGTATGATGGGGTCGTGTGTGGTTGTGTGTTTAGTATGATGGGGTCGTGTGTGGTTGTGTGTTTAGTATGATGGGGTCGTGTGTGGTTGTGTGTTTAGTATGATGGGGTCGTGTGTGGTTGTGTGTTTAGTATGATGGGGTCGTGTGTGGTTGTGTGTTTAGTATGATGGGGTCGTGTGTGGTTGTGTGTTTAGTATGATGGGGTGTGTGTGTGGTTGTGTGTTTAGTATGATGGGGTCGTGTGTGGTTGTGTGTTTAGTATGATGGGGTTGTGTGTGGTTGTGTGTTTAGTATGATGGGGTTGTGTGTGGTTGTGTGTTTAGTATGATGGGGTCGTGTGTGGTTGTGTGTTTAGTATGATGGGGTCGTGTGTGGTTGTGTGTTTAGTATGATGGGGTTGTGTGTGGTTGTGTGTTTAGTATGATGGGGTTGTGTGTGGTTGTGTGTTTAGTATGATGGGGTCGTGTGTGGTTGTGTGTTTAGTATGATGGGGTCGTGTGTGGTTGTGTGTTTAGTAGTATGATGGGGTTGTGTGTGGTGTTGTGTGTTTAGTATGATGGGGTCGTGTGTGGTTGTGTGTTTAGTATGATGGGGTTGTGTGTGGTTGTGTGTTTAGTATGATGGGGTCGTGTGTGGTTGTGTGTTTAGTATGATGGGGTTGTGTGTGGTTGTGTGTTTAGTATGATGGGGTTGTGTGTGGTTGTGTGTTTAGTATGATGGGGTCGTGTGTGGTTGTGTGTTTAGTATGATGGGGTGTGTGTGGTTGTGTGTTTAGTATGATGGGGTGTGTGTGGTTGTGTGTTTAGTATGATGGGGTCGTGTGTGTGGTTGTGTGTTTAGTATGATGGGGTTGTGTGTGGTTGTGTGTTTAGTATGATGGGGTCGTGTGTGTTGTGTGTTTAGTATGATGGGGTGTGTGTGGTTGTGTTTAGTATGATGGGGTTGTGTGTGGTTGTGTGTTTAGTATGATGGGGTCGTGTGTGGTTGTGTGTTTAGTATGATGGGGTCGTGTGTGGTTGTGTGTTTAGTATGATGGGGTTGTGTGTGGTTGTGTGTTTAGTATGATGGGGTCGTGTGTGGTTGTGTGTTTAGTATGATGGGGTCGTGTGTGGTTGTGTGTTTAGTATGATGGGGTGTGTGTGGTTGTGTGTTTAGTATGATGGGGTTGTGTGTGGTTGTGTGTTTAGTATGATGGGGTCGTGTGTGGTTGTGTGTTTAGTATGATGGGGTTGTGTGTGGTTGTGTGTTTAGTATGATGGGGTCGTGTGTGGTTGTGTGTTTAGTATGATGGGGGTGTGGTGTGGTTTGTGTGTGGTGTGGTGTGTTTAGTATGATGGGGTCGTGTGTGGTTGTGTGTTTAGTATGATGGGGTTGTGTGTGGTTGTGTGTTTAGTATGATGGGGTCGTGTGTGGTTGTGTGTTTAGTATGTGGGTGTGTGTGGTTGTGTGTTTAGTATGATGGGGTGTGTGTGGTTGTGTGTTTAGTATGATGGGGGTGTGTGTGGTTGTGTGTTTAGTGTGATGTTGTGGTTAGTGTGTGGGTGGTGTGTTGTGTTTAGTATGATGGGGTTGTGTGTGGTTGTGTGTTTAGTATGATGGGGTCGTGTGTGGTTGTGTGTTTAGTATGATGGGGTCGTGTGTGGTTGTGTGTTTAGTATGATGGGGTTGTGTGTGGTTGTGTGTTTAGTATGATGGGGTTGTGTGTGGTTGTGTGTTTAGTATGATGGGGTCGTGTGTGGTTGTGTGTTTAGTATGATGGGGTCGTGTGTGGTTGTGTGTTTAGTATGATGGGGTGGTGTGTGGTTGTGTGTTTAGTATGATGGGGTCGTGTGTGGTTGTGTGTTTAGTATGATGGGGTCGTGTGTGGTTGTGTGTTTAGTATGATGGGGTTGTGTGTGGTTGTGTGTTTAGTATGATGGGGTTGTGTGTGGTTGTGTGTTTAGTATGATGGGGTCGTGTGTGGTTGTGTGTTTAGTATGATGGGGTCGTGTGTGGTTGTGTGTTTAGTATGATGGGGTTGTGTGTGGTTGTGTGTTTAGTATGATGGGGTCGTGTGTGGTTGTGTGTTTAGTATGATGGGGTCGTGTGTGGTTGTGTGTTTAGTATGATGGGGTTGTGTGTGGTTGTGTGTTTAGTATGATGGGGTGTGTGTGGTTGTGTGTTTAGTATGATGGGGTCGTGTGTGGTTGTGTGTTTAGTATGATGGGGTCGTGTGTGGTTGTGTGTTTAGTATGATGGGGTCGTGTGTGGTTGTGTGTTTAGTATGATGGGGTGTGTGTGGTTGTGTGTTTAGTATGATGGGGTGTGTGTGGTTGTGTGTTTAGTATGATGGGGTCGTGTGTGGTTGTGTGTTTAGTATGATGGGGTCGTGTGTGGTTGTGTGTTTAGTATGATGGGGTCGTGTGTGGTTGTGTGTTTAGTATGATGGGGTTGTGTGTGGTTGTGTGTTTAGTATGATGGGGGTGTGTGTGGTTGTGTGTTTAGTATGATGGGGTTGTGTGTGGTTGTGTGTTTAGTATGATGGGGTTGTGTGTGGTTGTGTGTTTAGTATGATGGGGTGTGTGTGGTTGTGTGTTTAGTATGATGGGGTCGTGTGTGGTTGTGTGTTTAGTATGATGGGGTCGTGTGTGGTTGTGTGTTTAGTATGATGGGGTCGTGTGTGGTTGTGTGTTTAGTATGATGGGGTGTGTGTGGTTGTGTGTTTAGTATGATGGGGTCGTGTGTGGTTGTGTGTTTAGTATGATGGGGTTGTGTGTGGTTGTGTGTTTAGTATGATGGGGTCGTGTGTGGTTGTGTGTTTAGTATGATGGGGTCGTGTGTGGTTGTGTGTTTAGTATGATGGGGTTGTGTGTGGTTGTGTGTTTAGTATGATGGGGTCGTGTGTGGTTGTGTGTTTAGTATGATGGGGTCGTGTGTGGTTGTGTGTTTAGTATGATGGGGTCGTGTGTGGTTGTGTGTTTAGTATGATGGGGTCGTGTGTGGTTGTGTGTTTAGTATGATGGGGTCGTGTGTGGTTGTGTGTTTAGTATGATGGGGTCGTGTGTGGTTGTGTGTTTAGTATGATGGGGTGTGTGTGGTTGTGTGTTTAGTATGATGGGGTGTGTGTGGTTGTGTGTTTAGTATGATGGGGTCGTGTGTGGTTGTGTGTTTAGTATGATGGGGTCGTGTGTGGTTGTGTGTTTAGTATGATGGGGTCGTGTGTGGTTGTGTGTTTGTATGATGGGGTGTGTGTGGTTGTGTGTTTGTATGATGGGGTTGTGTGTGTTGTGTGTTTTGTATGATGGGGTCGTGTGTGGTTGTGTGTTTAGTATGATGGGGTCGTGTGTGGTTGTGTGTTTAGTATGATGGGGTCGTGTGTGGTTGTGTGTTTAGTATGATGGGGTCGTGTGTGGTTGTGTGTTTAGTGATGGGGTCGTGTGTGGTTGTGTGTTTGTGATGGGTTGTGTGTGGTTGTGTGCTTAGTATGATGGGGTCGTGTGTGGTTGTGTGTTTAGTATGATGGGGTGTGTGTGGTTGTGTGTTTAGTATGATGGGGTCGTGTGTGGTTGTGTGTTTAGTATGATGGGGTCGTGTGTGGTTGTGTGTTTAGTATGATGGGGTCGTGTGTGGTTGTGTGTTTAGTATGATGGGTCGTGTGTGGTTGTGTGTTTAGTATGATGGGGTCGTGTGTGGTTGTGTGTTTAGTATGTTGGGGTTGTGTGGGTTGTGTGTGGTTGTGTGTGGTTTGTGTTTGATGGGGTCGTGTGTGGTTGTGTGTTTAGTATGATGGGGTTGTGTGTGGTTGTGTGTTTAGTATGATGGGGTCGTGTGTGGTTGTGTGTTTAGTATGATGGGGTCGGTGTGTGGTTGTGTGTTTAGTATGATGGGGTCGTGTGTGGTTGTGTGTTTAGTATGATGGGGTCGTGTGTGGTTGTGTGTTTAGTATGATGGGGTCGTGTGTGGTTGTGTGTTTAGTATGATGGGGTTGTGTGTGGTTGTGTGTTTAGTATGATGGGGTCGTGTGTGGTTGTGTGTTTAGTATGATGGGGTGTGTGTGGTTGTGTGTTTAGTATGATGGGGTCGTGTGTGGTTGTGTGTTTAGTATGATGGGGTCGTGTGTGGTTGTGTGTTTAGTATGATGGGGTCGTGTGTGGTTGTGTGTTTAGTATGATGGGGGTCGTGTGTGGTTGTGTGTTTAGTATGATGGGGTCGTGTGTGGTTGTGTGTTTAGTATGATGGGGTCGTGTGTGGTTGTGTGTCTTGTATGATGGGGTTGTGTGTGGTTGTGTGTTTAGTATGATGGGGTCGTGTGTGGTTGTGTGTTTAGTATTGATGGGTCGTGTGTGGTTGTGTGTTTAGTTGATGGGGTCGTGTGTGGTTGTGTGTTTAGTATGATGGGGTCGTGTGTGGTTGTGTGTTAGTATGATGGGGTCGTGTGTGGTTGTGTGTTTAGTATGATGGGGTCGTGTGTGGTTGTGTGTTAGTATGATGGGGTTGTGTGTGGTTGTGTGTTTAGTATGATGGGTTGTGTGTGGTTGTGTGTTTAGTATGATGGGGTCGTGTGTTGGTTGTGTGTTTAGTATGTTGGGGTGTGTGTGGTTGTGTGTTTAGTATGATGGGGTCGTGTGTGGTTGTGTGTTTAGTATGATGGGGTCGTGTGTGGTTGTGTGTTAGTATGATGGGGTCGTGTGTGGTTGGTGTGTTTAGTATTGTGGGGTCGGTGTGTGGTTGTGTGTTTAGTATGATGGGGGTTGTGTGTGGTTGTGTGTATTAGTATGATGGTGTGTGTGGGTTGTGGTTTAGGATGATGGGGTGTGTGTGGTTGTGTGTTTGTTGATGGGTAGTGTGTGGTTGTGTGTTTAGTATGATGGGGTTGTGTGTGGTTGTGTGTTTAGTATGATGGGGTCGTGTGTGGTTGTGTGTAGTTGATGGGGTGTGTGTGGTTGGTGTTTGTGTGGTGGGGTGTGTGTGGTTGTGTGTTTGTTGGTGGGGTGTGTGTGGTTGTGTGTTTGTTGTGGGGTGTGTGTGGTTGTGTGTTTGGTATGTGGGGTGGTGTGTGGGTTGTGTGTTTGGTTGTGGGGTGTGTGTGGGTGTGTGTGTTTGGGTGTGTTGTGTGGTTGTGTGGTGGTGTGGTGTGGTTTGTTGTGGGGTGTGTGTGGTTGTGTGTTGTGTTGTGGGGTGTGTGTGGTTGTGTGTTTGTTGGTGGGGTTGTGTGTGGTTGTGTGTTTGGTTGTGGGGTTGTGTGTGGTTGTGTGTTTGGTTGTGGGGTGTGTGTGGTTGTGTGTTTGGTTGTGGGGTTGTGTGTGGTTGTGTGGTTTGTTGGTGGGGTGTGTGTGGTTGTGTGTTTGTGTGGTGGGGTTGTGTGTGGTTGTGTGTTGTGGTTGTGGGGTTGTGTGTGGTTGTGTGTTTGTATGTGGGGTTGTGTGTGGTTGTGTGTTTGTGTGTGGGGTTGTGTGTGGTTGTGTGGTTGTGTTGTTGGGTGTGGTGTGGTGTGTGTTGTGGTGGGTTGTGTGGTTGGTGTTGTGTGGGGTTGGTGGGTTGTGGTTTGTGGTGTGGGGTGTGTGGTGGTTGTGGTGGTTGTGGGGTGTGTGGTGTGGTTGTGTGGTTGTGTGGTGGGTGTGTGTGGGTGGTGTGGTTGTTGTGGGGTGGTGTGGGTTGTGTGGTTGTGTGGTGGGGTGTGTGTGGTTGTGTGTGGTGGTGTGGTGGGGTGTGTGTGGTTGTGGTGTTTGGTTGTGGGGGTGTGTGGTTGTGGGTGTGGTTGTGGGGTGGTGTGTGGTTGTGGGTGTTGGTTGGTGGGGGTGTGTGGTGGTTGTGGTGGTTTGTGTGGGGTGTGTGGGTTGTGGTGTTGGTGTGGTGGGTGTGTGGTGTGGGTGTGGTTGTGGGGTGGTGTGTGGTTGTGGGTGTGTTGTGGGGTGTGGGTGGTTGTGGGTTTGTGTGGTGGGGTGTGTGTGGTTGTGGTGGGTTTGGTTGGTGGGGTGTGTGTGGTGGTTGTGTGTTGGTTGTGGGTTGTGGGGTGTGGTGTGGTGTGTGGTTTGGTGTGGGGTGTGGTGTGGTTGGTGTGGGTTGTTGTGGTGTGGTTGTGTGTTGGGTGTTGTTGGGGTGTTGTGTGGGTTGTGTGTTTGTGGTGGGTGTGGTGTGTGGTTGTGTGTTTGGTGGTGTGGGTGTGGTGTGGTTGTGTGTTTGTGGTGGGTGTGGTGTGTGGTTGTGGGTGTTTGTGTGTGGGGTGTGTGTGTGGTTGTGGTGGTTTGTGTGTGGGGTGGTGTGTGTGGTTGGGTGTTTGTGTGTTGGGGTGGTGTGTGGTTGTGTGGGTGTGGTTGGTGGTGGTGTGTTGGTGTGGTGGTGTGTTTTGTTGTGGTGGGTGGGTGTGTGGTTGTGGTGTTGTGTTGTTGGGGTGTGGTGTTGGTTGTGTGTGTTGGTTTGTGGGGTTGTGTGTGGTTGTGTGTTTGGTGTGGTGGGGTTTGTGTGGTTGTGTGTGTTGGGTTTGGGGTTGTGTGGTTGTGTGTTTGTTGTGGTGGTGTGTGGTGGTTGGTGTGTTTGGTGTGGTGGGGTTGTGTGGGGTTGTGTGGTTGGTTGTTGGGGTGTGTGTGGGTTGTGTGGTGTGTTGTGGGGTGTGGTGGGTGTGTGGTGTTGTGGGGTGGTGTGTGGTGTGTGGTGTGTTGTTGTGGGGTGGTGTGTGGGTGTGGTGTTGTGTTGTGGGGTTTGTGGGTGGTTGTGTGTTTGTGGGTGTTGGGTGTGTGTGGTTGGTGTTTGGTTGTGGTGGTGTGGTGGTGGTGTTGTGGTTGGTGGGGTTGTGTGGTTGTGTGGTTGGTGTGGTGGTGGTGTGTGTGGTTGTGTGGTTGTTGTGGTGTGGTGTGTGGTTGTGTGTTGGTGTGTGGTGTGGGTGTGGTTGTGTGGTGGTGTTGTTGGGGTGGTGTGTGGGTTGTGGTGGGTGTTGGTGGGTGGTGGTGTGGTGTGTGGTTGTGTGGTGTGGTTGTGGGTTGTGGTGTGTTGTGGGTGTGTGGGTGGGTGGGTGTTGTGGTTGTGGGGTGTGTTGTGGGGTGTGTTGGTGGGGTGGTGGGTGTTGGTGTGTTGTGGTGGTGTGGGGTGTGTGTGGTTGTGTGGTTGTGTGGTGTGGGGTGGTGTTGTGGTTGTGTTTGGTGTTGGTGTGGTGTGGGGTGTGGGTGTGTTGGGGTTGTGTGTTGGGTGTGGTGGGTTGTTGTGGGGTGTGGTGGTTGTGTTGGTTGTGGTGGGTTGTGTGTGGTTGGTGGGTGTTGTTGTGGGGTGTGTGTGGTTGGGTGTGTGGTTGGTTTGTGGGGTGTGTGGTTGTGGTGTGGGTTGTGGGTGTTGTGGTGTTGTGTGGTGGGTGTGTGTTGTGTGTTGGTTTGTGGGTGTGTGGGTGTGTGTGGTTGTGTGGGGTGGTTGGTTGTGGGTGTTGTGTGGTGTGGTGTGTGGTGGGGTTGTGTGTTGGTTGGGGTGTGTGTGGTTGTGGTGTTGTTGGGGGTGTGTTGTGGTGGTGTGGTGTTGTGGGGTGTGTGTGGTTGGGTGTTTGTGTGTGGGGTGTGTTGTGGGTGTGGTGGGTGTTGTGTGTGGGGTGGTGTGTGGTTGTGGTGTGTTTGGTGGGTGTGGGTGGTGTGTGTTTGTGTGTGGGGGTGTGTGGTTGTGGTGTGGTGTTGTGGGTGTGTGTTGGTGTGTGGTTGTTTGTGGTGGTGTGGGGTTGTGTGTTGGTGTTGGGGGTGTGGTGGTGTTGTGGTGTGGGTGTGGTTGTGTTGGGTGGTTGTGGTGGTGTTTGTGTGTTGGGGTGTGGTGTGGGTGGTGTGTGTTGGTGTGTGGGGTGGTGTGGGTGTGGTTGTGTTGTGTTGGTGGGGTGGTGTGTGGTGTGTGTTTGTGTGGGTGTGTGTGTGGGTGTGGTGTTTGTTGTGGGGTGGTGTGGTGGTTGTGTGTTGGTTGTGGGTGGTGTGTGGTTGTGGGTGTTGGTTGTGTGGGTTGTGTGGTTTGTGTGGGGTTGTGGGGTTGTGTTGTGTGTGGGTGGGGTGTGGTGTGTGTGGGTGTTGTTTGTGGGGTGGTTGTGTGGTGGTGTGTTGTGTTGTGGGGTGGGTGTGGTGTTGTTTGGTGTGGTGGTGTGGGTGGGTGTGTGGTTGTGTGGGGTGTGTTGGTGGTTGTGTGGTTGGTGTGGGGTGTGTGTGGTTGTGTGTTTGGTGTTGGTGGGGTTGTGGTGGTGTGTGGTTGTGTGTTGGGGTGTTGTGTGGTTGTGTGTTGTGGTGGTGTTGTGGGTTGTGTGTGGGTGTGTGGTGTTTGGTGTGTGGGGTGGTTGTGTGGTTGTGTGTTTTGTTGGTGGGGGTTGTGTGTGGTTGTGTGTTTGGTGGTGGGTGGTGTGTGGTTGTGTGTTGGTGGTGGGGTGTGGTGTGGTTGTGTGGTTTGTTGTGGGGTGTGTGTGGTTGTGGTGTTGGTGTTGTGGGTGGTGTGGTTTGTGTGTTTGGTGTGTGGGGTGGTGTGGTTGTGGTGTTTGGTGTGGGGTTGTGTGGGTTGTGTGGTGTGTTTGTGGGTGTGGTGGTGTGGTGTTGGTGTGGGTGGTTGTGTGGTTGTTGGTGTGTTTGTGGGTGGTGGTGGTTGTGTGGTTGTGGTGTGGGTGGTGTTGTGGGTGTGTTGTGTGTGGTTGTGTGTTTGGTTGGTGGGTGTGTGTGGTTGTGTGGTGTTGGTTGTGGGGTGTGTGTTGGTGTTGTGTGTTTGGTGTGGGGTTGGTGTGGTTGTGGTGTTGGTGTGTGTGGGTTGTGGTGTGGTGTGTGTGTTGTGTTGTGGGGTGGTGTGTGGGTTGTGTGTTTGGTGTGTGGGTGGTGTGTGGTGGTTGTTGGTGGTTTGTTGGGGTTGGTGTGTGGGTTGTGGTGTTTGTGTGGTGGGTTGTGGTGTGTGTGGGTGTTGTGGTTGTGTGGGGTGTGGGTGTGTTGTGGTTGTTGGTGTGGTGTGGTGGGTTTGTGGTGTGTTGTGGTGGGGGGTTGGTGTTGTGGTGTGGGTTGTGTGGTGGGGTGGTGGGTTGGGTGGTTTGTTGGGGGTGGTGTGTGGTTGGTGGTTGTGGTGGGTGTGTGGTGTGGTTGTTGTGTTGGTGTGGGGTTGTGGTGGTTGGGGTTGTGTTTGTTGGGGTGTGTGTGGTTTGTGGTGTGTTGTGGGGTTGTGGTGGTGGTTGTGGTGTTGTGGTTTGTGGTGGGTGGTGGTTGTGTTGGTGGTGTGGTGTGTGGTGTGGGTGTGTTGTGGGTGGTGTGTGGGTTGTGTTTGTTGGTGTGGGTTGGGTGTGGTTGTGTGTTGTGTGGGGTGGTGTGTGGTTGTGTGTTTGTGTTGTGGGGTTGTGTGTGGTGTGGGTGTTTGTTGGTGGGGTGTGTGTGGTTGTGTGTTTGTGTGGTGTGGGTGTGTGGTGGTTGTGTGTTTGGTGTGTTGGGGTGTGGTGTGGTGTGTGTGTTGTGTGGGTGTGTGTGGTGGTTGTGGTGTTGGTTGTGGTGTGGTGTGTGGTGTGTGTTTGGTGTGGGTTGTGTGGGGTTGTGTGTTGTTGTGTGGGGTGGTGTGGTTTGTGGTGTTTGTGTGTGGGTTGTGTGTGGTTGTGTGTTTGGTTGTGGTGGTTGGTGTGGTTGTGGTTTGTGTGGTGGTGGTTGGTGTGTGGTTGTGTGTTGTTGTGGTGGTGTGGGTTGTGTGTTTGTGTGTGGGGTTGTGTGTGGTTGTGTGTTGTGTTGGTGGGGTTGGTGTGGTTGGTGTGTTGTTGTGGTGGTTGTGGGTGGTGGTGTGTGTTTGGTTTGGTGGGGTTGTGTGTGGTTGTGTGTTTGGTTGTGGGGTTGTGTGTGGTTGTGTGTTTGGTGTGGTGGGGTTGTGTGTGGTTGTGGTGTTTGGTTGATGGGGTTGTGTGTGGTTGTGTGTTTGTTGTGGGGTTGTGTGTGGTTGTGTGTTTGTTGTGGGGTTGTGTGTGGTTGTGTGTTTGTTGGTGGGGTTGTGTGTGGTTGTGTGTTTGGTTGATGGGGTTGTGTGTGGTTGTGTGTTTGTTGTGGGGTTGTGTGTGGTTGTGTGTTTGTTGATGGGGTTGTGTGTGGTTGTGTGTTTGTATGATGGGGTTGTGTGTGGTTGTGTGTTTTGTTGATGGGGTTGTGTGTGGTTGTGTGGTTTGTTGTGGGGTTGTGTGTGGTTGTGTGTTTGGTGTGATGGGGTTGTGTGTGGTTGTGTGTTTAGTTGTGGGGTTGTGTGTGGTTGTGTGTTTTGTGTGATGGGGTTGTGTGTGGTTGTGTGTTTGGTGTGGTGGGGTTGTGTGTGGTTGTGTGTGTTGTTGGTGGGGTTGTGTGTGGTTGTGTGTTTGTGTGTGGGGTGGTGTGTGGTTGTGTGTTTGTTGTGGGGTGTGTGTGGTTGTGTGTTTGTTGGTGGGGTTGTGTGTGGTTGGTGGTGTTTGTGTGTGGGGTGTGGTGTGGTTGTGTGGTTTGTATGTGGGGTGTGTGTGGTTGGTGTGTTTGTGTGTGGGGTGTGTGTGGTTGTGTGTTTGTTGTGGGGTGTGTGTGGGTTGTGGTGTTTGTGTGGTGGGTTGTGTGGTGGTTGTGGTGTGTGTGGTTGTTGTGTGTTTAGTATGATGGGGTCGTGTGTGGTTGTGTGTTTAGTATGATGGGGGTCGTGTGTGGTTGTGTGTTTAGTATGATGGGGTCGTGTGTGGTTGTGTGTTTTAGTATGATGGGGTGTATGTGTGATGGGGGGGTCGTCGTGATGGGGGTGTGGTTGTGTGTTTAGTGTATGATGGGGTCGTGTGTGGTTGTGTGTTTAGTATGATGGGGTGTGTGTGGTTGTGTGTTTAGTATGATGGGGTTGTGTGTGGTGTGTGTGTTTAGTATGATGGGGTCGTGTGTGGTTGTGTGTTTAGTATGATGGGGTTGTGTGTGGTTGTGTGTTTAGTATGATGGGGTCGTGTGTGGTTGTGTGTTTAGTATGATGGGGTCGTGTGTGGTTTGTGTGTTTAGTATGATGGGGTCGTGTGTGGTTGTGTGTTTAGTATGATGGGGTCGTGTGTGGTTGTGTGTTTAGTATGATGGGGTCGTGTGTGGTTGTGTGCTTAGTATGATGGGGTCGTGTGTGGTTGTGTGTTTAGTATGATGGGGTCGTGTGTGGTTGTGTGTTTAGTATGATGGGGTCGTGTGTGGTTGTGTGTTTAGTATGATGGGGTCGTGTGTGGTTGTGTGTTTAGTATGATGGGGTTGTGTGTGGTTGTGTGCTTTAGTATGATGGGGTCGTGTGTGGTTGTGTGTTTAGTATGATGGGGGTTGTGTGTGGTTGTGTGTTTAGTATGATGGGGTCGTGTGTGGTTGTGTGTTTAGTATGATGGGGTCGTGTGTGGTTGTGTGTTTAGTATGATGGGGTCGTGTGTGGTTGTGTGCTTAGTATGATGGGGTCGTGTGTGGTTGTGTGTTTAGTATGATGGGGTTGTGTGTGGTTGTGTGTTTAGTATGATGGGGTTGTGTGTGGTTGTGTGTTTAGTATGATGGGGTCGTGTGTGGTTGTGTGTTTAGTATGATGGGGTCGTGTGTGGTTGTGTGTTTAGTATGATGGGGTCGTGTGTGGTTGTGTGTTTAGTATGATGGGGTCGTGTGTGGTTGTGTGTTTAGTATGATGGGGTCGTGTGTGGTTGTGTGTTTAGTATGATGGGGTCGTGTGTGTTTAGTATGATGGGGTGGTGTGTGTTTATTTTGATGGGGTTGTGTGTGTTTAGTATGATGGGGTCGTGTGTGGTTGTGTGTTTAGTATGATGGGGTCGTGTGTGGTTGTGTGTTTAGTATGATGGGGTTGTGTGTGGTTGTGTGTTTAGTATGATGGGGTTGTGTGTGGTTGTGTGTTTAGTATGATGGGGTCGTGTGTGGTTGTGTGTTTAGTATGATGGGGTTGTGTGTGGTTGTGTGTTTAGTATGATGGGGTTGTGTGTGGTTGTGTGTTTAGTATGATGGGGTCGTGTGTGGTTGTGTGTTTAGTATGATGGGGTCGTGTGTGGTTGTGTGTTTAGTATGATGGGGTCGTGTGTGGTTGTGTGTTTAGTATGATGGGGTAGTGTGTGGTTGTGTGTTTAGTATGATGGGGTCGTGTGTGGTTGTGTGTTTAGTATGATGGGGTCGTGTGTGGTTGTGTGTTTAGTATGATGGGGTAGTGTGTGGTTGTGTGTTTAGTATGATGGGGTCGTGTGTGGTTGTGTGTTTAGTATGATGGGGTTGTGTGTGGTTGTGTGTTTAGTATGATGGGGTCGTGTGTGGTTGTGTGTTTAGTATGATGGGGTCGTGTGTGGTTGTGTGTTTAGTATGATGGGGTCGTGTGTGGTTGTGTGTTTAGTATGATGGGGTCGTGTGTGGTTGTGTGTTTAGTATGATGGGGTCGTGTGTGGTTGTGTGCTTAGTATGATGGGGTCGTGTGTGGTTGTGTGTTTAGTATGATGGGGTCGTGTGTGGTTGTGT